CCGGGGCAGCAAGGGAGGCCGGGGCAGCAAGGGAGGCCGGGGCAGCAAGGGAGAATGGGGCAGCAAGGGAGGCCGGGGCAGCAAGGGAGACCGGGGCCGCAAGGGAGAATGGGGCAGTCAGGGAGACCGGGGCAGTCAGGGAGGCCGGGGCAGATACACTTCAATGTACAGTAGCACAAAAGACATGCAAAGGGGCAGCTGAAGGAGCTGCGGGGTACAAAGGGTGTTCCAAGAACCTCAGTTCCAGGGGAGGGGCAAACTATGTCAGGACACAATTGGATGTACAAACAGCCCCCCCCTACGTGTAGAAGTCGGGGGCCCCCTTGTGCAGAAGGCTTATCAGGGGGGGTTAGATGACCTCTGACATTGAGCTCTGGGGGTATCGGGTCCCCCGAGTCCCACCGACAAAGTTCTCAGCACATCAGACCCATGAGGGACACGAGACCAAAGCCATCACAGCTCAAGCTCCAGGTCATGTGACTCGGACATGTGACCCGGACATGTGACTCGGACATGTGACCCGGACATGGAGACCTACCTACCGATGCTTGGTGGACTTCTACTCAGTCTGACAGATTATAATAAAGGGCCACAGGGCCCGGCCTCCATGGCTAATGCGGAGGAGAGGCCGATCCAGAGAGCTGGTCTACAGAGGCCGCTCATGTAAGGAGGAATCTTGACTGAAGCCCCCGAGGAGAAGAATTCCCCCTCCGAGGAAGACCAGAAAAAATGACTCCACAGAGGAAAATGAGCCCAACCTCCTGAGACACCAGCAACAAAATGGAGGCGTTCTATGGGGGCCGACTTACAGCTTTTACCATTGTCCCAACTTCCTGAGTGCGGCAGCGTAACCCAACTAATAGAATTCCTGTGTCCTTCAATGGAGGAGAAAGAAATGATAGTAACACACACAGTGTGCAATATGTGAGGAGACCACAAGGGGGCAGCAACACACATTCACATACTGCGATACCCCCCCTCATACCGTGCGCAGGGGAAGGCAGGATTGGGGGGCTGTAAATGTACAAAAT